CATTGGAGGAAAAACCTGGCGTTATTGATGTCTGTGGGAGCTGTGCTATTGACTTTTTGAGACCAGGATTTCACCCCCAGTCCATAGGAAAATAATTAGAAGAGTTCAGGGAAGAAGATAAGCCCTTCCAGCTATCACTGGGCTCTCCACAGACCTACTGTGCCAATAGAGAAGATGCACCATGGGGAAATATGTAGAAAGGAACACAGCATAGTCATGGCTTATGCAACCCCTCCTCCACAATACATAATGTTTTATGGAAATAAGATTATTAATTTTATATTTAGTCCTACTATCCCCCTTGCCAAAGTCCCCATATAATGCAGCCATCTGTGTACCATCACCGGTACATTGTGTCCGCACCTTCCCTCTCCTTGGGGAGTCAGAGTACCATCAGGCAAGAAAATACCTAATTGCTATTTAAAAAATCAGCCAGCAGCCAGAAAAGGCAGACTGCTCTGAGCATACTCTGCATTTCTGAGCATTAAAGCAGGTTCTAACTCAGTAAACTGTGGCTCACAGGTGTGATCTCCCAGCTGGGAAATACATTGCTATCTCCAAAGCAAATCCTCAGATGAGCAGGGAAGTTGCCCATAATTGTATTTCAGAGAACTTTGCCAGCACTTTTATCTCTCCATATACTTTCTTTATCACTAGGAAAGGAAAGGAACCAAGGCAGCCAAATCCATTGCAAGACATTTCTTTCTGCTTCCTCACAGACTTCTCTTATTACTAGTACTTATAACTTTGGTGAGCACACAAAATAATTTACCCAGATTACTATAGGCTTAGCCAGATAAGGGGTCCATTGAGTCTGGAATCCATCTCTGACCACACCAGATCATAGAGAAGTCAGGCTGGAAGGAACCTTGATAGGTCATCTGGTGAGTCCAACCCCCTGGATCAGGCAGGGTCACACCTATCCAAACTATCCTATACTAATCCATTGTCTAACCTCTTAGCAAAATTACATCCCCATATGGCAACCAGCAAAGCCCAGAAGCATAGGAAATACTTATAGTAGAACATAGGTGTAGCTGCTCCTAAAGCATTTCCAACCAGTGGTTGTCCAACCTCTTCTTGAACACCTCCAGTGATGGAGAGTCCACAACTTCCCTAAGCGGACTAGGACTATTCCACTGCCTCACTGTTCTAGAGTGAAGATGTTTTCCCTGACACCCAATCTAACCCTACTGTGCTGCAACTTCAAGCCACTGGTCAGCATCCACCTTTCTGTAGCAAAAGAAAGAAAGGTGTTTTCCCTCTTCTTTATGGCAGCCCTTCAAATACTTGAAGACTGCTGTCATGTCCCCTCTTCACTGTCTTTCCCACAAGCTGAACATGCTTAGCTCCTTCAGACACTCATATGATTTGTCCTTTAACATTTTTGTCACCTGGTTTTGGACCTCTCTAACTTCTCCATGTCCTTTTTAAAATGTGGATCCCAAAACTACACACAGTACTATAGATGAGACCTACCCAGTGCTGAATAGAGGCACTATTACTCCCTGTGTCTTGCACCTAATGCTTCCACTGATGCATCCCAAAACTGCAGTTGACTTTTGTGCTCCAGAGAGAGATGGAAGAGACAACTACGAAATCATCAGCTGTGAAATCCTGTAAGGTTTTCTCTCATTTCCAGCAACCCATGGTTAGCTTGTCCTCATATTAGTTTTACAATCACATTTTGTGTGACCATGCACGTTATTTGTATCTATGCAAATGTCCAGTCCTTCCTGAACCCCCCTAAGTTTGTGTTCAGTGGTGTCTCATGGCAATGAGTTCCATAGCTTTTGTACTGTTGAAAAATCATTTCAGTTACAGTAAGTGTACCCTTGTCCTCATTTTAAAAGGAAAAAAAAAGTTATATTTGTTACCTCCCTTCTGAGCCAGGGTGACTGTCATTCAGGTCAACATGTACCATTAATTAAAATAAGGGCAATATAAATCAACATATTTGAAGGCTATAAGAAACTACTGGGATCATCTGTTCTGGTCCTCTGCATAACACAGAGCAAAGAATCCCATCTGATTGTTTCTGTCTCAAACCTCTAAATCCAATTTGAGCTATGGCACATCTTTTAGCTATTGCTGAAAATGTTGCTGTGCCAATCAAGTTTTCTATTCTAGTCTTTGAAAATTTTGTTGCCCTTGTTTGACAACCATGGCAGACAGTTAAGAGGATTCAGTAATTCTCCACACTTATTTATTGCTTTAACTTATCTTGCCTTTCATCTCCCTGGCATGTAAATTATGTCCCCTTAAGCACTATTAGGCAGGAGGCAAGAAAATATTACAGAGCCCTGTCTGAGAGCAAGGGGATGAAATTGTCCCAATACATTTAGGATTCCGCCATTAAGAAACTAAAAAAATGCTCAGTTTTGAATCATGTGAACCATTATATGTTTAATATCCCTCGTTTGTTAATGTGCCTTTCTGTGTACTCAAGGTCTGGGTCTAGGGAACACATTGGTTCATTCTTTACTTCATTAAACTGAAGCTAGATGGCAGTACCACTCCAGCTTTCAAACTTAATTGTAGTTCCAATGCCCATTACTTTGTAGGTTAACACGTACATGTCAGTGCAGTCCCATTCCCCGGGCACTATCTTGATGCAAGCCAGAGGGGAAAGAAGACAGCACTGTATTACTTCAAGCTTGCTAAGCTCTTACAGAAGCTTGATTTCTAGTATGATATCCAAAATTAAAATTGAAAGCTTATCTTATAAATTGTAAACTTTTTTTTATGAGCAGCTGTGTGACTGGAATAAGTCGCTGAGTTGCACAAGCACATAGCCCATGCAGCTCCTGTTATGAATTACATTTTAGGCTTGTACTTTGGTGAGCTTTGTGGACCATAGCCTTTCCTTATTTACTTCACTTCTAACTTTCAAGAGTGAAAGAGGAGCTTCTGTTTCTAACATGATTTTAAATTCCTGTTTTCCTCCCCCCATTCCTCAGTAATCTGTTATTGTGCTTGAGGTCGGATTGTGGAAAGGACAAGAAAGGATATTATAGAGAGCGTGACGCCAGCCCTTCCTCTGTCAGATAATGGAGACTATCATGATGAACTTTCCTGCCATGAAGCTTAACTCAGCTATGTGATAAGTATGCTACCTTCAAAGATAAGACACAGGTATGAATAAGTGGTTCTTGAAGCATCATAAACTGAGCATGGGCAGTCGGCCTAGTGGTTAGCACAAGGTCCAGATTGGAGGTCAGCTGGGGAATAGCTGGGCTGAAGCCAGGAGATTGGAGTCTGAGGCAGAGCTGAGTCAATAGGCAGAGGCAGAGGGCGGGAGGCAAGCCAGGTCGGTACCTGGAGTCTGAGAACAAGACAGAGCAAGGCGCGAGGCAGAGGCCAGGTTTAGCAACAGTATGTTGAGCCAGGGCTGGAGACAGGAACACAGGGAACAGCAGAATAGTTTGAAGGCAACAACAACCTTACTGCTCAGGCAAGTTCATGCTTCCCATATAGGCCTTGAATAGGCTGGAGGGACCAACCCCATCTAGGAGTCCCAGCCAATTAGGGGTCAGAGTTTGGAGGCCTTCACAGCAGGAGGGGAGAACAATGATGACAACTCATTTCCTACTGGCCTGCCTTCAGCTACAAATAAAGTAGTAGCCTGGTGCCGGGTTGTGCTGGTGCTTGCCTCTAGAGCCCCCAGATCCAATGTCTGAGACCAAATCCCAACACTTCCAACCATCCAGTCCTTGGCCAAGTTACACTTCCACATACGATCCTGTTGAGATCTTACAGAGAAGAACTGAAACCAGTTTTATCCTTGAATAAATATTGACTCCTGGGAATAAACCAAGTATGATTTGAGCCTATTGATTTCTAAAATTTTAGAAAAGGTATTATACAACCTGATGCAAACATGCACATTTGGTCCTCCTGACACCAGCATCCTACTTCTCAGAGTAGCATTGCTCCTCTGGCTGGCAGTTGCAGAATTTGAAGCTCTGCAGGTCATCTTTCCCCATGAAGGAAACATCAGTGACACAGACTGTGGCATACTATGTTGTATACTTTATACCAGTCTTAGAGGAGAGGTGGCCACAAACAGCACACACGCAACTTCATCTTGCTGCTGACTCAGAAAACTCATCTATGCCCGGTCCCCAGGAAGCAACTGTTTCTGCAGAACGTTCTCCAAATACAGAGAATAAGGCAAAACCACAGCTTCTCTGAAAGAACCACTTCAAAAGAAGCCATAACAACCACCTAGCATTTATTCAAGGGCTAAACACTTGCTTGCACAGGAAGAGAGACTATTTTATATAACAGTGCCTGCTTGCATCTCCTTCCACAATGTGTGCTCTGATAACTAGTGTGGTTTTTCAAAGACACATGCGTGTACATAACCACTCATTTGGTAGCCTTGTTTGCGAACATGTGTATACATTTGTGTGACTTAAGTACTGAAACCAGTTTTAGACTCTTTCATGTTTTTGAAGTAGGGCAACTGAGAGCAGAAGATACACACCTTGCAAAATCATATAGCCGTGAGCAAGATTGGTGAATGCTTGTGCCATTTTCCAGTGCCCATCTCCATAGATGATTCTAGTAAGAGCCACATATCGGGTCAGTTCCCTGATGGCTTTATGAACCTGAAAAACAACACAACATAGGCAATATGATTTCTTTTTGTTTAAAAAGAAATATCATTTTGGGCTCCATATAGCCCCTGGAAGTGTTTTATTTCCCCTAAGCTAGATGGAGAAATATATACACATAGATAAGAAACTAAACTGAAGCCTTGAATGAGCTGATGTCAGAATTACACAGAACAAAGGATTCTTGCTTTGGATTCTCATGGGTTCAGTTACAGCTTCCTCTTGCCTTGAACACTGCAGTCTCTTGCCTCCCTGACTTTCACTTCATCCTCTTCAATCCAGCCAAAATGCTGCTGGCAAATATCAGTTTCACGTCACTCAGACCAAATCCATCCCGCCTCTCTTAAAGACACTTCTCCGACTTCCCCATATCTTTAGGGTTTCTGCCTTCACCTTCAAGATTCAATGAAGCTTAGCTCTTACCAACCTCCGTAATTTTTTTTGTTTTCTACTTCATCTCTTCCATTCTCCCAAAGCCACCTGAACTGCTGCTTTCTTCTGTGTCTTCTTTTCACTGTCATCTCTGTGCTTCCTTCACTGGGGATCCCAATGACTGTAATCCCTTTCTGTCACATTTTTGCTCTCTAGCACTTTAAATAATATAAGAAAACTGCAGCAGCGCTGCCGGATTCTAAATAACTGTGTTTACTAAGTATATGCTAACAGACAAGGCCTGGCCACATGTTCATTATATCTGTGTCCATGCATGTGCACACACGCACCGGTTGCTTTGTTAGATCCAGTGATTTCTTCAATGGTCCACTAGAGGACTCTCAAACTTAACAGAGTAGTAGTACCTGGTTCCTATATGCTATTCTATCTACCAGGAGTACATATTGCAGGGGTATATATCCTATATACCAGGAGTACTCAAGCCCCAGCCCATGGACCAGATCTGCCCCACCTGTGTCCTGTCATTTGGCCTGCAGGGCTCCCCACAGGTCTGAAAATAGGGAGCAGTGGCACTACTCCCCTGGTCCCAAATTTCCAGATCTGTGGGGAGCCCCGCAGGCTGGATAGCATGGCTTTGTGCACTGTATCAGGCACACAGGGAGGTGCAGGGCATTATCTTGGCATGCAGGGCTAGGCAGGGGTAGCATGGGGACCCAGGGCCAGCTCCTGGTGCACAGGGCCCAATCCTGGTGTGTGGGGCCTGATCCAGTCTGCAGGGCCAAAAGTTTGAGTACCGCTGTGCTTTTTTTAATGCTTTTTATGGCAGAATTCTCCCTTAAAAGCAGTTTAAGAAAAAGGATAGGAAAAAAAAAAAGATCGAAACCAAGCAATGTGGCACAAAGGGAACACATGCTCTAGTTAATGTGAATTAATCACTCCTGTGATGTTGTCTTCTACCTTTCATTTCCTGCAAGTTCTTCAGGGTAGAAACCTTGCTTCCCCATTCAGCTTTCAGGGAACTTATAAGTAATTTATGCTCAGTAAAAACAATAGCATCCAATTTACTGAATCATATTGATCTGACAAGACATACAGCTGTCGCATCCATAGAAGAGGTTTCATAGGAAGGCTCTCACCCACGTGTCTACTGCGCATTCACTACTGAACTATCACAGACCACAGCCGGTCTATTTTGTGGCTGTAAGGCCAGATTTGCATCTAGTGCCAGATCAGGAAAGGCTCAGAAAGAATTCTCTCAGCAGACAACTGACGTAAGTAGCTCAAAAAGCGCCTTTCCATGGTAGGATTCAGAATATATTGATGCAGGTAAGCCAACAAAGGGATCTTTGCATAAGGGAAGAATAGTGGGATGGAGCAGCAGCAGGCTGAAGAATTTGTCAAGACAGCGAATACCAGGGGACTATTAATATCCCCATCTGTTCGAGAAAGTAATTCTCAGAAATGTCATGATGATGACTAACACCTCTCTGCTGCCATGCTTAGGCCTTGAGATCTATTTCTGGCTCCTTGAGGATGTTTGCTAATTCTTTGAAACTTTCCTTCTAGGAGCTGAATGATCTGGCTGATGATTACAAACAGAAAAGCCTCTGACAGGAAAGTCCCTACAAACTGCCTGGGGAAAGGATGATCAGAATGTCAGTTTTGCTACCATAAAAATGAATGAAATGCAGTAGCTAAACAGTAACTCTCTCCCCACCCCCCTCTCCACACACACATTTAAAGAAGTCATTTAAAACACATTCAGGGGATTTATTATCTTCTACATGCAAGTTTGAGAGACTTCTCTTCCTACAGGAATAGAGGCATATATTTCACCCCTGGCCTGAACTAAGCAATTGAGAGGCATGGGTGCTATAAAACGGGACCCTTGCCTATTTGGCATGAGAGGCTGATAAGCTTTAGACATGACTCCAATGAGCCCCACTCCTCTTCCAGGCTGGTATAGGTGAGGTACTGGATGCCAGCACCACCACTTGTGGGGCTTGTGCAAGAGAAGTAATCCTCCTCATTGGGGTATGAGTTTGGTAAAAGGTCCACAACCCCTCGTCACTTGGTTATTAGCTTTAAATTACCCTTAACGGGAAATTACTCACTGTCACCATTGGATGTCTTAGTCATGTGTGGCTCTAAAATGGATTAGTCAACTGAATCTGCTTCCTAGTAGACAGGAAACATATTGCTAAAACAGTTATCAGAGCATGTCCCTACTTGATACCAGCCAGTCAGCCGAGAGCCAGACTTACCTTAACTACCACCAGGCTTTTGGAGGCGTTCCCTCCAGGAAAAGTCTACACCTATTAGGGGAAGCCGTGGTGCACAGGAGTTCCTGGCTTCAGGGAAGTCCTGGCTCTGGGGAACACAAAATGGACCAGGTCTAAGGCTCCCTACACAGCTGGCTGCTCTGAAGACAGATCTTAGAACCCTGGATTCCTCCACAGCCCACAAGAAAACTAAGGACACTATCAAAATCAGAGATGTGTTTGCAAATCATTTCATGTGCAACAAGAGGCTGCTGACAGACATGAAAAACAAAGAAACAGACAAAAAAAAAGTGCTTTATCAGAAGAGGCCGTGCATTAGTTTGACCCAGCTTCATAGCATCTATATAGATCACGTGCTTCAGTGGGACTTGTTGGTGCTTTTATCTAAAGCTGATTCAATCAGTTAGATAAACCCAAAAAAGCCCTGCTGAAGTGCCTGATTTATTCAGATACTGGGTGAGCTGGGTCCAACTAACGTGATGCCTCTTCTGGGCATGTGCTGGGCTTGGCGCAGGGGCATACTGAGTTTAAATTGATTTGAGGTGATCAAATGGCATAAATGCCTTTTTTTTTTTACATCAGTAAGCAGTGTGTTTTCTGACGCAGCTCTGCTTTGTGGGAAAACATTCTAACTGGCTCTACCCGAGGTCACTTAGCTAGATGCTGCACGAACATGGAACCAGAGACAGCTGTTACCCAAAGAGGTTATAATCTAGAGACTAGACAGATGCAGGAAGTGTTACTACTCCCACTTCACCAAAAGGGAACTGAGGGCACATCCACAGGAGATGCTTTATTGCACAGCAGAGCTAAATATTGTGCAGTGAGCATCAGCATCTACACGTAGGACCAAGCCCTGCAGCTGAGGGACCCTGCGGGGCTGGCTCTGAGAGAGAAGGATCTCCCCGCCTGGATCCTGGGACCAGAGGGAAGAATCTTCCAGCGCCGGCCCCACGACTGCAGAGCTAGTGCTGTCACATAAGGATGGAGGAGTTTTAAGTAGAAACAATTACACACAGGACTTTTGTCTAGTAAGTTATAAAACAGAATATCACCTCTTTCTCTTCAATGAACTTTTCTGCCATTTTCATTGCTCCTTGCAGTTTCTCCCTGGGTGTTGAAGCCCAGTCTGTACAGAGTGCCTCTGTCCTCATTGTCTTCTCTTCTCCTTCACTATCTCCTACTGTGCTCTCATCGTTTGATTCATCCATATGTACAGAGGCAGCTGTGCTGGTTTCCTGGACTCTGATTACAATATATTGTAAGGTTATATTGCTCGGGAGATTTATTGCAGATCCATCTGTTCTATGCTGCACAACATTTAAACATGAAACAGGGAAAAATGCTTAAAATATTACTATTAGGATGTGAATGAAAAACAAAAGTGGCCAGTTAAAGGAGGAATTACAGGTTCCTGGGCCAACAATGCTAAAAAAAATTCTCCCTTTGGAAATGAAGTTAAGCAACTTATACATGACAAGGAGAATCCACAGCATTCTGCCTGGGTTTTGTAGGAGCACACATCAGATTGGCTTGCATTTCCTTTTTCCCAAGGAATACTAAGGAGATCCGAACAGGAATACTAAGGAGATCCGAACTGACTGGTTACACCCGCTCAAAAGTAATCTGGAGGATAAACATATTTGCACAAAATACTTGAGCAGCAGAAGCAATGACTATTCTAATAACCTCCCTTTAGAGGTATCACTTAATGTGCTAATCAGAACTCTTGCTCTTACTCCACACTGCCTCTGTCCGTTGTGTCCTCCAGCCCCTTCATAACAACAAGTTGTAGCTCTATAGGCAGCAATAATTTTCTGGTTGTACATCAACACAGCGCTAAGCAACAATGGGCACTGTTCTTAACTGGGGCCTTCAGGCTTTACTACAACAATATAATATGTTTCTTCTTTATAGTGCAGTACTTAATTTTCATGGAGCAGGAGACTGCTGTGCTAGGAGCTGTACAAATACAAAATAAAAACAGTCCCTTCCTGAAAGCACTTGCAATCTATATGTAGGAGGAAATAATGCTTTCATTGTTTCATAACGCTGGATCATCTCAGTTCACGTCTATGTTGTTTTATACTGCTACACAGAGAAAAGGAGAAACAGCCCCAAGTCCCAGAATTTCAAAAATGTTCACAGCTTTACTTTCCATTTGTTGAAACTGGCCCTGGCCACTTCACCAGCAGGGAATGACTGGTTCTAGAGGGGTTTGTCGCACCAGGGAATAACATCTAAATAAAAATGGAGCTGGGTGGCCTGTTCCCATCTAGTCGATATTCTACTGCACGCAGAGCGGAGCACCCACAGGAGGTTGTGGAGGCTGATAACAACCAGGATCATAAGGGGATTAGGCAAATTCATGGAGAACAGACCCATCAGTGGGTATCAAACCTCAATGGGTGCAACCTCTAAACTAGGACTTCGGAGCCTCTGAATGCTGGAAACTGCGGCACGGGGGAGGGTTGGGGGGATGGAGAGGGGCAGAAACAGATCAGGTTAGATGCACCATGCTTAAACACTCATCCCCTTCACATCCACTCTCTGCTGCTGGGAAAGACAGGCCAATTTGTAGCATGACGACAGTGGGCTGAGGCCCACCAGGAACTACGCATCCCACTCAGTTGCTTGAGGGAGGCCACTGAATGTACAACTAAACTGGTGGGAATAAAAACAATAAAACAGAAGCACAGGTTGTAGGTCACCAACTAGGATACCAAGGGAGGACACTAAGCAGATAAGCGCGGCTAGTGCCCATGGCTTCTCAAATGCATCTAAGGAGCCATGGGATGGATGCTGGGCGAGATGGGCTTGTGGTCTGACCCAGTATGGCAGTTCCTATGTCCTTAGCACACAGCTGACTCCTTCCCCATCCCTCTCTCTCCAACATCACCCAGAGCACAGGCATACACATATCCTTGTAATCCGGGCAGGAGACCATTCTTGAGTTGTTGGGTTAGATCCGATAGCCTCGGGTAGTGGGGCCTGTGCCCCAAAAAACAAGACAGATAAGCAGAACCAGGTAGACCCTCTCCCGCTCCCCACCGCAGCACACGCAGAGACATGGCTGAAGGACCCTGGCTCTAAATGACTTCCCAGCTGCAGTGAATGTAGTCCCCTCGCCACTTCACATTACAATACACCAATCACTGCTGCCCAGAGACCAGGTTGTTTTTTTCCTCCCTGCTGCCTGCCTGCTCCCCCTTAGTGCATGGCCCATGATCTAGTGACTGTAATATAGAAATGACACAGCTCAGGGCAGCAGAGATCAGAGGAGAGACAGACACAAGGAATCACCTGCTGACCGCACTGGAGCGAATGTCCAGCAAGAACTACTCCTCCGCTGAGCAGGGCCAAGCGCCTGCGCTCAGCTCTGCAGCCATTTGCTCTGTGCTCTTTCCATGAAGGACTTGTTCAGTTCTGGCAGGTTCATTCAATGTAATTTCAATGAGTCAATTAGCAGGCATCTCTCCTCCTTCTGTATGATCTGGAGCCTTTATTCTCCCCTTTCCCCAAGTCAGAGGCTTTTGTGACTGGCTCCACCCCACACACTGTAGTCCTGACAACCACATGCACCGCCCTAGGCTGTAGTCTGGGTGACAGTACACTCACACATGCACATGCGTGCATGACTGCCTCATTACCTGGGTCAGGTACATTGTGCAGGTGTTTTCCATTGTGCACAACAGAGCCTTGATCCAAATTAAGGCCAGCCTGCTTTAAGATGAGTACGTAGGCAGCCATACAGAGGAAGAGGGCATCTCTGCAGCAGATCCGCTCCCAGCTGCAACCCATAGAGACTGCTCCACTCCACTTTGCTCCTCCAGACTCCGCAGGTCTGGTAATTAGGCTGGACTTTAATTACATAGATGTTTGCCAGAGCAAAAAGCAGTAGAGATACGTCAGTAAGAAGGTCTCTGAAACAGGCAGGAGGAGGAGGCAGAAGTTGTTAATACGTTTACTAAAGGTCAGGTGACTGGTTATTTCTTTTCACAAAAAAGGGACAGAAAATGCCAAGGCAAAACAGCTGTTAAACAAAATATAGTTTTGTGCATCCTCCTGGGGCTGCTTTGCTTTCCAGTATCTGTGTCCTGTCTACTTTGGTACTCAGAAAAAAGCTACAAGTGATATGAGGGAACATGGGAGGTAGATGCATTGCTAGGAAGCATGCGACTCTCTAACACTTGGGACCCTGGAAGAGGACCTGGGCCACAGTGTACGGAGCTGGGGAACAGCCAGGTCCCCTGCTACTCTGCCACCCACGCAGCTGAGGGAGTTCGGTGGTGCTTCAAGCATTGTGAGCTGCCGCAGAATTCCCCCTAACGCTGCTGCCATGCACACGCAGGCTGGGACGCTGCTGAAGTCAGCCCAGCTCCGCCGGGAATGCGGCTGCCAAGAGAAACAGCTAAGCAGCGGGTGAGGGGAATGTGCAGCTCTGAGCTTCCAGTATGTGCCACCCCCGGCTCTCCCATAGCCTGTCGTCAGGGCCCTGCAGCAGAAGCCCAGAGGGCTACTGAAGACCAGCTGCTGAGAATACAAGAGGGAAAGCAGGTCCTCACTACTTTGATGCAAGTAACTACATAGGTTACTTGAAAACATTTGTAGGGTTCATCTGACAGAGGGTGGTTCCCACAAGCAACAACTTGTGTTTTCAGGACAGCTTGGCAGAGCTGTCCCTAGGGTATGGCGAATTGGGGCAACCACCCTGGGCCCCATGCTTTGGGGGGGGGGAAGGGGGCCGTGGAGCAGCTGCAGCCCCTCCTGGAGCCCACAGCTCAGCCACACGCCGCGGAAACACGGAGACCCTCCCTCCCCCTTTGCAGGGGAACCATGGCCCTGCACAGGCTGATTTGCCCCGGGCCTCGCTATGGCTGACTCTGTAGGTTGGTCATGACTGCTACGTAGCACCTCTGCAGCGCACACTCTCAAGTTAATGTTCCTGCCGCACCAGACTCTCAGAAAGGGTTACGTAACATTTGTGAAAGAACAAGCTACGAGCTTGGTTCAGACAATCAGGAGCTGATCCCCACCCACTGAGGCACAGGAAGGATCAAGTCTGGCCCGGCTCTCTACACAGGGCAATGATGTCACAGAAACTGTTTCCAGTCTCCAGCTGCTGGTAGGAGGTCCCATTACCAACCGTCTGAGCATCTGAGGCTGTTGGAGAATGTATTAATAGGGCCAAGTACTAGTCTGAAGAGACAGGAGTCCAACCATGTCAGAGGCACTTTTAACACTTATAACCCACCCCCCCAGACGACTGTGAAAATACCTGTGATAAGCTAAATAAAGAGCAGGCCCAAACTGTAAAAGCTGAGAGGTACGTTTCTCTAAATTGCCCCAGGATTTATAAGTACTATCACGTCACTGCTCCCACTTGAGTGGATACTGGGGTTTGAAGTGGACATCCTCCTAGGGATAAAGTCACGATCTTCTACCATTTGGGCTAAGGGGCTGAAGTCCTTTAGCTGGAACTAGTGCTGGACCATAAACCTTTTACTCAGACTGAAGCTGGGAATTAGGGTGGGACAAAGACCTATGGTCTCTTACTCTTGAATGCAAATCATCCAAGGCAGAGATCACCACTCTCTCCTAGGAAGGATGCTACCATATTTCATTATACATGTTTGAAAAGCACTACACATTTCAGTTTCAAGCCACCTGCATCAGTTTCTTCCTAGGGCAAGAACTGATGGCATCTGCTGCAACTCTAGAAGTTACAACCTGGCATCTTAGGAAGCTTCTTAATAGAAGGTTTGAATTAATCTCAGCTGTAGTTTATAGCTGTCACGTAGTCCTGAGCTAAAGGGAATATTAAACTGACTGTGAACACAAACACCATCAATTTATTACTGGTTGTAACAGGGACAGCAGAACAGGGTGAAAGCATGACTTTGATTCGTAATTACTGTCTCATATTGAGAGTGAGAGGCTTTTACTCTGTTTAAACTAACCAGCTTTACAAACTCACTATGGGATCTGAGCATCAAAAGCCAGCTCCCCTCTTATTTGCATGTCTCTTCCAGTAATAAAAGGACTGCGCAGCCTAAGATCACCCTAATTACAGTGTGTGCAATCCCTCTCTCTCTACATTTTGGGGCTGGCACATGTGTAATGGCAGGCAGAAGATGATCCTTTGTTATTAACTCTGTTGATGAAATGGCCAAGAGAGAATCCAACTCCTAAACCTGCTCCTTTGTTAAAAGGGATTTGGACTTGCTTTTATGCGCTGAAGCAAACGGACACGATTCCAACTATATACACAAAATGGAGGTGTTGAGCAAAGTGATGCCTTTTCTAGCACACAACAGCACCAGTTAAATGCTTTGAGGTAATCAAATGCACAAATGCTAAATAGCTTAAGTGTGTTATTTATCTATTCTAACCTCTACGAGTCATTTATCTGAAAAATAAAGATGAATTGTTAAAACAAAGCTGCACAAGGTTATGTATTTGCCAAAGGAACATAACTAATCCATGCAGACCTTAAGAGTGGATGGAAATGAAAGCTTAAGAAAATTATTTCCAAGTTGCAGTGTGGGTACTCCACATACAATACAAGTCAGCCTGCACCCACAACTACAATCGCTAAGCTATAATCAAATGGAGCCACACTCATAGTCTGACATCAAACTGCAATAGGTGATTTGCCAAACTACAGCAAAAGCTCTGTTATCTGGCATTCCCCGGGAATGGGGGATGCCGGTTAATCAAATATGTGCCGTCCACTGCGCTCCCTGGCGTCAGTGTGCCGAGGGACTGGGAGGGGGGCCCCACACAGGCTGCTTTTCCCCAGGCTGTGGGCTGAAGAAGTGGATGCCAGTTAGTGAAGCTTTCTGGTTGATAAAGTGCCGGATGACACAGCTTTTGCTGTACTAGAAGTTCCTAGACATTTTCTCATGGCTCCCTTACATTTAAAGTGCCCAGGTTGTGCCTGAGCAGCTAATGTAAAGATCAATGGCAACATACAGCTGGGCAGGTGACATTTCTCCGGGCAGAGTCACACTTTAAAGCTACATAAAATAAAAACAATTCTAAAAGCACCAATTACTCAAGAGTAGCTCTTTCAAATGAAAGGACAATTAGACAGAGACCATATGTGTTTCAGAGGCAAGAGAGGATTATATGTATTTCAGCCCCTCCCCAGTTCTGGGGACAGGGAGGGCAGTATAGCTGAGGATAGTAGGGCAATGGGGAATGTTTCAGTTATGTGGGACACTGAAGAATATCAGTGTGTAATACTGGATCACAGCAGTGACTACTGCATACTAAGCACTAACAGGAACAGGGCACAATCTTTTATCATAATGCACCCCACTGACCTACAACCTGTTCTTTAATTCTTTCTATGCATGCGGATGTTTACTGGAGAAACAGCTTTACCCTTATCAGCCAGCTAATAGCAATGATTTGCAAACCTCTTCAGTAGTTTGGACCTATACCTAAGATCAAATGGAGCAGAAATAGTTAAGACACTCAGAAAGTTAACAACAGAAATATACTTCGGTTATGAAACTGGGAAAGAAATTCTCATATATTTGACACAGTCGTAAAATCTTGGTATTGCAGTGCTTACTTCAGTTATATTAAAATACAATAATATGGTCTTGCTTAATAGCTTCCTGAATGTACAAAATAGAGCAAGAATAAAAAAACTGGAAATAGTTTATTTGCTGCATAAGGAAACCTTTTTTGTAAGTTACATACAAAGACAAATTCTATGCTATAGTGTATGATCTTCAATATTTCACAAAGATAACTGAAATAAATATGCATTACAAAAGATAAAAGGCTAAATCCATCAAGCAACCTACAAAATGGTTCAAACATGCTTGAAAATGTATTGTTTATTTTTAAGTGCTGCAGCAAAAAAAAAAAGGTCTTTTCACATTTCTTTGGAGCATTTTTTTAAATTGTCTAACTATAAAATACTGTCCAAAATTATCAGGCATTAGTTATACACCCTAAGAAAAAACCCACCAAGGTCTAACTGATGCAAAGTTTTTAATCCATTTAAGCTTTGCTGTGGTTAGGAAGTATTTTTTGAAGTGGCTGAGTCCAGTAAGCCTCAGGCACTGTAGACTCTGTCAAATCAAGAATCTATGAAGTTAATAGATTATACAGCTCTGGAGATTTCTTTATTAGAGACATCTCCACCAAGAGGAATAAAACCACTACCATAGTGAAGCTGCAAGTTAGTTATAGTATGGTTTTACCCTATGCTTACATATTTTCCAATTGTTCTCTACTATTTGCTGTTATTACACAGCCCTGTTTCAAGTCTACTTCCAATTCTCAAGAAAAGGACAATGATGTCTTTCTTACCCTTGAAATACATGACATGATTCTGTTGTTATCTAATAAACTTTTCATTTTGCTATATCACTAAACGTAGAACTGTCGTTTACACTTCACTGCTCTGGGACATGCTGACAGACAGGTCTATTATTTTATATAATTTCTTTCTGTGGAGAATACTTCACTATTGTTTTACTAAAGCTGAATACTTTGGGTTAAAAAAAACACCTAAAACATGGTTA